CTACTACTACTACTACTACTACTACTACTACTACTACTACTACTACTACTACTACTACTACTACTACTACTACTACTACTACTACTACTACTACTACTACTACTACTACTACTACTACTACTACTACTACTACTACTACTACTACTATTACTACTACTACTACTACTACTACTACTACTACTATATACTACCATTTACTACTACTACTACTACTACTACTACTACTACTACCTGGCATCCCAGACGACTAGTGTCCTCCAAGCCCGGTGCGAGATCGAGCAAATCCTCCTCCTCATCAGTGGGTTCAGGGAGGCTATCGAAAAGATCTTGCGATAGGATACAGTGGCAAGTAGAACATGCCATTTGCCCCTGAAATAAATCTGCTCTACTGAGATAGCAAATCTTCCTTACCTCGCAAGCGCCTTCAAGCTCAACGTCATTCAAATGGGCCACATCCAACAACGACCACCCGATGGGAGCCTTCGCGACCTTCTTACTCCCATCGGGATCGACAAATGTGATATTCACACTAGGAAGCCCCTTAGCCGCAGCAGCATCCACATGGAACGCCCGGCTGAGCTTGGCCAGGTGCGTACTCAGGATGACAGACGTGGAACTACTCGCCAGAACAGGGCTCATGCTCCGTATTAAAGTAGATGACATTCCCTTATGGACTCCTATGAAGTTGATAAAACTACGATGAGCTCAATCAATTGCTTCACATATTATCAATGAATAGGCGTTCTCACAAAGCACAAACCATAGGGACGAAAGAAAATGCGAGACGGGTAACGGAAAACTGTTGGAAAAACCGATTCATCGTTTGTAACCATATACCTCGCAGTGTAGTCATTGTAAAATGATATATGCCAAGACCAGGAATCGAACTTGGGTCGTTATAGTGAGAGCCCAACTAACCAACCAACTCATCTAAACAGTAGCGAGAGAAACTCAGGCACATTGGTATTTTCACAATAATGAACTCAGAACCGCATCTTCTTCCCACATCGAGCCATCGCGCGAGCCCTCGCCGAAAAACTAATCTTCTCGCAGTCCAGAAGGATGACCTGCAACACACCACCAACTGAGCCTTCTCACAGTCATTTTAATCTTCCTTTACAACACTAAAGCCTATCTTCAGCAGTGGTTGAACATATACTTGCTTTCCTCAACTGAGCTCAGCAATTTCTTAACTTGTTATGAAAATTTACACACGAATTCAGGTAGAAGTAGACAAAAACCAATAAAAATTTCCCGAAATTTCCTCAGAATTTTTACATTATCCAACACACGTAGTTGACCATATGCATATTTTCCACACTGACCTTCAGTTTGCCCTTACGAGCGGCCACAGCATCAGCAAGCACCTCAACAGAGACATCCGTAAGACCCGGGTTAGCATTCAAGTATAGAGACTCCAGTGTAGTGTTATCCTCCTTGAGAACCTGACCGTAACAATGCCCCCCTTATTCCCCCCTGAAGTTCAAGTAAAAGTCTCGAAAGAAATCCAGAACCAACTCAGTACAACATGTGATAAGCATGACTATAAACCTAACACATGCTACGAGTCAGGCATTACAGTAGACAGTAGCAGTAGTAGCATAACAGTGTAATAAGCATGACAGTAGACCCAAGAGCCTAGCACTGTTAAAGAGTATTGACCACGATACCACCACTTCTAATCCAATACAGGTTGAGCTAGATGCGGTATGACTCATACAATTAATACCTTGGCTAAAGCAACGACACCCTCGTCGGTTAGTTTGTTCTTCCGCATCTCCAACAATCGCAACTTATTATTCGTCTTCAGCGCTTCGGTGATGTACCCTGACAACAAGAACACAGCTAACGAACTTCCATCCGGGAGATCCCCGGTTCGATCCCCGCACCCGACATATCTCACCTAGTCCCTCATCAGTCATATTAACTCCTGATACAAGCAAAGTCTCCAAGGGATGCCCATTGCTTGCTCGTCCCAAAACCTACACCAATACCCATAAAAAACCCCATTCTGGCAGTGTGGGAAAATATGTTGATGACAATAAGAAAATTCTGAGGAAAATTCTTACACTATTAATTTTTTTCGCGATTTTTAGCAAATTTCTGTATACTTCTAGCCAAATTCGCATGTAAACTTTTATAATTACTGAGAAAACTACAAACTTCAGCTGAGGAAAGCCGACGCGTGCTGACGAGTTCATCAGAACCTACTCTGAATCTTTCACGATCAACCTTTAGATACTCTCACATTTTCCGGATAACTCCCATACACTTTTTTTCACATACCCTACCCTTCTTCTTACATGCTCAGCTATGGCCTTCACTCCAAGGTCGCCCATACGTGGGTTGTTGTTGATATCGAGCATTTCACAGTCAGCATTTTGGAATCTAACACGAAACACATCTTCCAACGCCAGACTGGTGATACCGTACCGGAGCATCTTAGCAATAACAAGAGCATCCATATCAGTCAGGTCCTTAGCATCAACGTGTATGAATGCTTTACCTCCCATCAACTGCCCAATACGCTTTCTGATCAACAACATAACAAATACGCTATTTGCTATTTGAAATACCTCATCTACACCTTCTCTCGATCCCTCCTAAGAATAGCCACTTCAAGTTCATACATTGCCGTTTCAATTTCTCGTGATCGCTTTTTTCCGTTTTTTATTTTTCCATTTCAATTTCTCGTGATCCCTATTTTTCCGTTTTTGATTGGCATTTTCCATTTCAATTTCTAGTGATCGCTATTTTTCCGTTTTTGATTGACATTTTTCCATTTCAATTTCTGGTGATCGCTACTTTTTCCGTTTCCGTTTAACATCTCTCCATTTCAACGAGTAGTGTGAATGAACTTACATGCCAATCTTGTCGTTCAAAGCCGCCGCAAATTTCTTGGCATTTCCCGAAAGATCGTACTGCACTGCGAGACAGTCTTCAGTGGATCCTCCCAGCCAATCTTCACATTGCTCGATAACGAAATCCGCTATTTGGCCTGAGCCGAAGTGTGAGGAAACATATGCACATCGTTAACTACGTTTGTTGATGACAATATGACGGAAAATCTGCGGAAATTCGGAAAATTTCTTTTTGGTTTCCGTACATTTCTACCCGAATTCGTATGTGAACTTCTATAGACAATAAGAAAACTCCTTAGCTCAACTGGCTGTGAGTAGTATCTTCCAAAATACTCCGCTGCCCTACCGGGCTCTTTGATCTCCTCTGTAAGATTCGCCGGTTCCGTATCTTCCTTTTTCGTGGGTACAACCTCAAGATTCATCCCAGCGGCGGCTGGAGTCTGGCAAGCCAGTAAGTTGCCCTCCACTCCATCGAAATGTACCTATCAGTTCATCAACAATCATAACTCTAGTTCGACCAAATACTATAGCCGCTGTAGTATAGCCTTGATCCAAAGAATACAGCATTTCCAGATCAAATCTTTTTTTTACTCATTTGCTGAATGTTTTACCTTTTTCGTTACCATTTTACCCATGATTCTAAGAAGATCCCAAGAAAATTATCGTTATCCCCGGTTTATTTGCAAGTTTATGAGTTTAATTCAACCAAGGCCGCGCGAAATTCAACCTAGAAACGCTGTAGACCACCGATAAAAACACAAATAAACTCATAAGCCGTTGCTTCCACTACCGTAAAAAGCATACCCGTAAGCCCTATAGTACAAAACAAAATAAAATTGTCCGTGATGAGCGAATAGGCTTTATACCAGACCCACTACGATGGATAGTCATACCAGGTTGAAGCCTTCATCCCTGCCTTACCGTGCACTGCTTGCATTCTCCTTTACCACCGCATTCACTGTCTATCGGTATCCGCAGATGCTGTAGCATAGTCAACACGCTCTTGTGAGTAAATGCCGGTATAGTGTTCCAGTCGTACCTACAGCAGCAACCATCACAGTGAACCAACCAACAACACTCCATCACGAATAACGCTGACGTCCTGTGGGAATATATGCACATGGTCAACTACATGTGTAGGTGACATTTGAGGAAATTCTGAGGGGAATTGAGCAAGAATTCTCATTGGTTTCTGCACACTTCTACCCAAATTTGCATCTAAACCTCTATAATTAGTGAGGAAACTCCTGAGCTCAGCTGAGAAAAGCGAACATATATTCATTCAACTCTGGCGGCTGAGGATGCTAGACGGCGAATGTACTTAGATCTATAAACACCCAAAAGCTCACTCTTTTCCATTGACAGTTATCACAGGCTTCTCTTCCTGGCCCTCTCCCATGGTCATCCAGTGCGTATCGGGATTGCCCTGGGGGGCTGGTGACGGCAGCCTACGCTTTTTGCTCATCATACGGACCAGCGCCCCTCGAGGAGCGAAGCTAGGCAATCTGTGCAGTGTGGACAACATAAGTAATGAAACAAAAACAACAGGTAATAGTAACTGCAGCTACATCACAGATATCGAAACTCGCCAACACAACACCATCCACTATCAATAGCTGCATCAAGGCGACTAAGAGCCTTACCTCGATAGCGACTGGGAGAGAGTAATACTACAAACTGTAAGATCTCCCTACTACCACTATCATGAGGAAAACTAAAATGCTCAGCCCCACAACTCCTCCACTATTCTCTTTTCTGCCCTCATCTTGTCCACATCTGCGCCTATCCTGCCAAGTGCTTCTATAACACTTCGACCCATGGACTGACTACCGCATATGAACACATAAGCGTCACCTTGCAGAGCCTCTTGAAGATCAGCCTTGGCAGTCGTTGCGATCAGATCCTGAACGTAGATCTTCTCAGCTTGATCCCGGGAAAACGCTGTGAACAATTTGCACCCCGACTCCTCCGCAAACTTCTTAGTCTCATCAGCATAGATCCAATCCTTGTCCCGGTAGCGACAGCCGAACAACATAATCTTCTTCGCAGCCGGTCGGGGCTTGATCGTGAACTCTCTCATGAACGCTCGCATCGGAGCAATGCCCGTCCCCGCTGATATCATGATGATAGGCGCGGTCGGATTCGCTGGCAGTCGGAAGCTCGACGCCCGGACCTGCACCCACATCTTGTCACCAGGTCTAACCGAGGTGCAGAGATGCTGAGTAGTGACTCCTCTAAAGGGACCCTTGTCGGACCTTGCATGGTGTATTAGACCAACAGTGGTCGATATCATCTTCGGATGCTCGAGATTTGACGAAGAGATGGTATAAGCCCGACACTTCTGCCTCGGGACTATTTGGAGAAACTCTCCCATGCTTATTGGCGAGGCCCTGAAGGTCTCACAGGTAACCTCCGTAACAGTGACAAGTTCTCCCTTCCACTTCATCATCAGCTCATCTGGATCCAACGCCCCTCCCTCAGTAGAGCACATATCCCTAGTAAACGCCTTCGTAGGGTGACCATTCAGATCGCAATACAGTGTGAGAGCATCTCGAAGAGTACAAGGCGTCGGGAAGGGTTTCTTGACGATAGTCTTAGTGCACGCCAACGTTCTCGTGAAGCCCACATACATATCGAGCATGTCTTCACACCCAAACCGTTCAGCAATAGCCTGGACCTCCCATTCGGGATTCCGTGGGAGAATTTCCAAGTTATCAGCCGTTCTATACCGAGCTGTTGGCAAGGACGATATGTCGACATCCAAATGGACTGTCGTCAACCCCTCCTCAGGCACGGGTTCTTGTCGAAGCTCTCTTATGTCCTTCACAGTAGCCTCATCAGCGGTGAAGTAAAACTTGGAAATAACATCCATTCCACCACCATGCACTGTAGCATCATAAGGCAGGCTACTCTTAGTCTTCTCAAAATGCGCAACAAGATTCAACTTGTTCCTCACGTCTGGCAGCTCCCTCTTCCCGTCAACAGAAGCGCTAGAGGCAGTACGCCCTCGAACGCCCATCATCATCGCCATGACAGCATCCCACAGGCCCTCGTCCTTCCACTTAGCGAAGTCTTCATCGATGTCCGCGTCATCATCTCCCAAACCGAGATCGTGAATCCGAGTTGCGCCGAGGTCTGCCAACTTGGAGTCGATTTCCTTCGCAAAATGGTTGAAGTGAACGTACTGTCTATTACCGAGACCCATCACGGTGAACCTGAACGATGAAGAATGACGAACGCCTTCGCCAACTGAAAGATTCTGCGACATAGGGTAGATCTATTCTCTCCATGCGACCCTAATTATTACTTCATATCTGCCAAACAGCCCGGCTGGGCGTCTTTCGATAGCCAATTGGCAAACTCAGAGGCGTTGTCAGTCGGATCCCCTTCACCATAGGTGGCAGCTACTATGATGACGTTCTTATGCTCAACGAACGTGTCCGGATCGAATTCCTCAAAGTCGATGACTTCCGTATGGAGACCCATCTCTTGGGCCTCTTCAGAGAGCTCGTTTGCGAAGCCTTCAGCCGTGCCAGTTTGCGACGCAAAGTAAATGTATATTTTATGCGCATCATCGTCGGGTATTTCAACTGCTCCCACCGAGACCTTCTTCGCCGAGGCGGGTTTTTGGTTTCGAAATCTGTGATACACGAAATAGCTGACGACCGCTAGCCCAGCAGTGGTAATGGCCGCCACTGGTATCGCATAATGATCTGCTACGCCAGCTGGCATCAGTAAATTGAGGAAGAGATGAGTAAAACCCCAGTAAGATAAACGAATCCTGATAACACCAATAACAATGGAACGAGCGTCGTTACCAACACCGCTTGTACACTCATCTAGCAACTCCACTACTCGATTAGATCTACCAACATTGATATATGTCCTAGTGTAGCCCAGAACAAATTGTTATAGCCCCATCACAAACGTTGTTATTAATTCCACTCGTGGAATTATTTTCTCTGTGAAAACAGTTGTGAATAAATTACCCACTTTTACATCGTCCTATCAAAATTACTGTACTAAGGCATATCTTGGGGTGGTGGCAGAGGCGCCCCGTCCGATGGATTCGATTGTAGTGAGCCATATATTGGGTTGGCATAGGTGCCCCATCCGATGGAATTGATTGTACTGATGAATATATTGGGTTGGCATAGGTGCCCCATCCGATGGAATTGATTGTACTGATGAATATATTGGGTTGGCATAGGTGCCCCATCCGATGGAATTGATTGTACTGATGAATATATTGGGTTGGCATAGGTGCCCCATCCGATGGAATTGATTGTACTGATGAATATATTGTCGCCAAACGGCGAGCGCATAAGTGATGAGCACGCAAGTGCATAGCGAAGTTTGTTAAGCTGACCAGTAGTCGTTCTGTTCTTTCATTGGAGTCTTTGAGGAAAGTGTCATGGTAATATCATTATCATTTTCGTGCTTTTTCGTCCATGCCTGGTGTTGTGTACTGAGGAATATTTTGGGTTGGCATAGGTGCCCCATCCGATGGAATTGATTGTACTGAGGAATATTTCGGGTTGGCATAGGTGCCTCATCCGATGGAATTGATTGTACTGAGGAATATTTTGGGTTGGCATATTTGACCCGCCTGATGGAATTGATGTCACTAAAGGCAAAATAGAGCTTTGAAAGGCGCACCTGGTGACACACATAGACGGTTAGTTGACGAGGCTGTGCCACCATCTGACAGTCAGATATTGCTATGAGCATACTATGATTGGAGCGACCCTGGGTGACCCAGGCTAAGTTAACTGACCCAGGCTGGGTCAATGTGAACTTAATGGTTTTAATGGTTGATGTATGATAATGTGAACTTCACATGGGTCACTGGCCCATGTAAAGTTCACATTGTGGACTCAATGAGCTCGGTGATGATATTAATAGTGGTTATGATACTTAGATAACCTCCATGAAGTAAAGTACCTCGCTCCACAAAGGAGCAAAGCTGTGCGCTTACAAGCAGCACGATGTGGTGCACTGCACGCATGAAAAACAGCAATGACTGGTGATATCATTAAGCTGGGTAGACAGCTCAGTTGAGCTGAAATGAGACTCAATAGTAGTGTCTCATTCCAGTAGCACATACTAGTGTTGAACGGCACGGTGCAGGTGCCCAATAGTAGAGTTATTGCCTCGTTGTATCCCTTGCATTCGTACCCTTATGATAGGGGTCTTATCCGTACCTCTCAATGAGAGGCCCTCATTGGTGCATTATTTCAATGGTCCGAGAGCACCCTATAGATGGGCAACTGTACGGAATCCGATACAGACCCGTAACTCGTACTATTCGAGATAGTCCTCGGGACATGCGGAATCCAGTGAGTTTCGCGCAAGCGATGTACAGATAGGCAGCGGGCAACTTCTCAACCCCTAATTCCATATCATTTCCGCAGTGTACTCTAAACAACACGCTGAAGTCAGCAACCAGTGTGCCACATATCTCATTAACAGCGTCGGCATAACATATGTTCAATGAACATCGTTCATAATAGTGTCCAAGGAGTCAGTTAGCCGATGGCCTGAGCACAAGTCCTAAGCCAACTTGACTGGCTCGTCGTTACCGAACTTCGCATATGTCAACGACGTAACGTGACGTTACCCATGGCTTATCCAGGAGGACATTACCGGCGCACGCACCGCTTTCACCCGAACGAATCGCGCACCTCAAAGTCTGAAGTGCTTCCAGTTTGAGTATCTCAAATTTAAATTCTCGAGACTCAAATTGCCTCTCGAACTTCGGGATCTTCGGGATTAGCTCGATTCGATCCTTTCGGGAAGGATGTCGAGTTCGCGGACGGTGTAACACGGTGCTACTACCACCATTGATGTTGCCGTATAAGTGCGACTCAATGCTCTGATAGCGAAAGGGGGAAAGACGCCGCCGAACCTTAAACGACGCCAAAGGAACGTCATGCCTATATTCGCGTCGTCAGCAACCGTGCTCGAGGACCTCGAGGCAACTCCAGTCGAGATAAGCAAAATCTCTTGTTGATGTACGAGTGTCGATGTGCGAGGAATCACTTTAACAAAATTCAATGGTTTTTAATGTAGACTCCAAGTTACCTATGAAACCCAAAGGGAAAGTCACAGATCGAAGCAAAAGTCTTGGTGAAGGGTCTGACATTCCACTGAAAAAGTAGATAGTCCTGCCAAGTAGACTCTATCCTCCTACTCTGCATGTCCTTCCAGTGTGACCAGACCGCTTCGATGAAGCTTTCATAGTTACTGTTGATGTTACTAGCTGCACCAAGGCTCGAGATAGTTGGGCCCTGCTCGCTGATACGCATGAGGCGAGTCAAGGTGACGCCCGACAAGAGATGGTGATCTTCAGCCAAGCCCGTGGTTGTGTCGAAGCACCGTTACGCGCAGCGGTGGTCCTCCCTATGAGGACTCGGGTAACTAGTGGGAGTAACCGAGGTACCATGGGTTGACTCCCTTTCTGCACACTGCGCATGAGAAGCATGACTCGTCTTTTCCTTAACACGTCTACGACGTACCTTGACTATAACATCAGTGTCACGATTACGTGGCACTTCGGTAGTCTTTCCTGAACGTGTAACAACCATTCCGAACTCAGATAACTCAAAGCTAGACTCTGTGAATATATATCGACAATCCGTAGCGACAACCTTAGTCCTCAGATGACTCAAAAACCCTAAATCCATAAGGGTTCGCAAAACCATAGCGAATGATCCAGTGCCCAATAGAGTGCAATCAATGGTCACAAAACTATAGCAACACAATGAAGACCCTATTATCCATATCCTCCTCATATAGATATGGATCCCTATGTAAGCTAGTATAAGTCAGTAACTAGTAAAAGCCTTGTATAGAACTTATACCGGACTCAACTCAGCCTACTCAACTTATAAAAGCCTATACGTAAACACACAGCAGCGTGAAAGCAGCACGCATGTACATAAAGTAGCGCTCGCCTATGACCGGCATCACAAAATCCTTAGTGTCATACCTCGCGCCGTACGGACGCGCGCACCGTTCCACGGATGCCGTGGAGCTAAGTAGGCACATCACGATGGCACACATCTTGGCATGGTTCGGATACAAAGAAATCAGACGAGGTCCTCGTCTGATTTCTTGTCCTCGTCACGAGGATTACCCAAGAAGTGACCATGGAAGTCTCCGTCATCAGGTAGAGGCGAGTGCCCAACTTGGGCAGCCCAAGATCTGTCCTGAGAGAAGACGTGTACATGCGTGCAGCACCCAACAAACTAAGATGGCCCGGCACTTGAGTGCACCTCAGTGGTGCGCGAGTCGTTGTTCTGTACGCACTCAGGGTTCCCGTAAATGCACCTGAAGTACGCAGCGAGCACCTGGATAAAGCCCTGGTAACGTCATTATAAATGAATCCAAGAACGGTTCTTGAAGAACCACTTGCCCATTATGGTGAAATTCTCATCACTGGTCTTAGTGCTAGCTTAACCCTTTCGACCAACTTCTCTCCCGCATGTCACCTCAATTCAAGATCATGCTGACTTTAAAAATCGCCGTAACTAAACCATAGTGAGTAACGACTCTTTTCTCCCTTCTCTATAGCCTGTAGTATATCGGAGAAGACCGTCAGCGCTCTCCCGTTCCCATAATTGTGCCCCTCTTCGGCTATACCTTCGCATGAGGTGCGCTCTCCTTTGTCTACTAATAGTGAAAATAGAGCATAGCCAAATCAGCAGAACCTAGGAATAGTCTTCCGTTAATCCGGCCTTTCTCGTTCTTCTCCGCTGAGCGGTCTAGTTCAGCGTTGCTATCGCGCGCAGCCTCGATCAATTTGATCGTCAGGCTGACGTCAGCTGAGCTCGTGGGGAGGCCGAAGAGGCTGGGAGGGCTAGGCTTCGATCGAGATGTCTTCATCCGAGCTTCCTGAGCCTGTGACCCTGAGCAATAAATTCTACCTCAGAAGTTCTGAGTCAGAACGAGAACGCCGACTCCCGACTCACTCGTTTCCATCTCGATCACTGGCGAACTCTCCACCTTTTCCCCAAGGATCTTCGACGCCTTCGGTAGCCGAGCCTCGATGGTTGAGGACAGTCTGGCGGACGCGTGCAAGGTCACATACGTGCCGTGTACAGTATATGATGCACCCTTCCCAGTCGAACGGGTCGATTGTGCGCCCACATCGTCTCGAGTCGAGACTCCTCCGGAGCAGCCATGTCATACGATCCGAAGACGACGGTCGCCGACACGATGGGGGCCGTATTCCGAGCCTGCTCCTCGCAGGGTCAACCGCTGCAATGTACCGAGCGCCTCTTTCTTGCAGGGTCGAGAGCTGCAAGAGCCCGAGCGCCTCTTTCTTACAGGGTCAACCGCTGCAACAGCCCGAGCGCCCATGTTGGTCACCAGAGCTTCCCGGATGTGAAGTACCGGGAAAGGGCTAGGGGTTTAGTACTTACTGCCTCGTCTCTCACGGTCGCAAATCCTTGAGCTTCGACTTGCTCCCACAGGTCCAGATACTGCAGCCATCTCATAGCCAAAGTGGCTGCCCCGTAGGAGGTGTTGTAGCCTCCTCGACTGAGCTCACATTTCTTTCCCATTTCCTTCCGGAAAGAAATGCAAAGAATGGATAGCAAGGAACTATCGCTTTGTTTCCAGTGGAAACTTTCCACGAAACAAAGAAACCCGAAAATTTCGGGTGGGGTTTCGGAGCACATTTCTTCCGCTGCTACCTCGATAATATGAATCGCTCTCCATCCGTACTTTCAGAGGAATCCTCCACGAATGAATTTGGTAATGGGCGCAATAAATTTTGGGCGCGCGCGAAAATTGTCGCAATTCACAGGAATCTTAATGTTGAGGAATTGCAAGTGCCCGCGAGTAGTCGAAGAGGATTGTATCTCCCCTTTCACACCACAAGATGTCATGAATAACATGTCCGATGAAGGAAGGGTGATATGTACATTATCGCATTTCGAGGAGAGCATGTGCCTCGACAGTGTCGATCATGCCTGGTACGGGATAGTCCTCGAGTTGGTCATAATCTTCTACTGCTTCGGTATGCTATCCTTTGCTGCTGACCACCTGTGCAACTCCATGGAGACTCTCTGTGACCACTGGGACGTTCCTGAGGATGTTGGTGGTGCCACATTCATGGCCTTAGGCGGAGCGGTTCCCGAACTTACCGTCAACTCTGTGGCGACTATGAAGTCCCTATTGAAACAGTCGCGCACCGACCACCCCGAAGATGTAACCGAAGCCGAGTTGGGCGTCGGAGCCATCCTGGGCAGCGGCCTGATAGCCTTCCTTGCCATCCCCGCTCTGTGCGCCCTCGTCACCCTAGACGGGCGGCCCCTGGCCCTCAAGAGGGGCCCTCTTACTCGAGACATATGCTTCTACATGCTGGCACTAGGTCTGTTGATGTGGGCTCTCCGGAGAGGGGTCGACTTGGCAATATCCTCTCTCGAACTGCTCACTTACGTCATCTACGTTCTGGTCCTATGCTATGCACGTAAAGTCAACGCCTGGTACAAGCAGTGGAAGGTGAGTCACGTCAGCAACCCCAGAGTCCTTTTTGCCAAGGAGTCCACCTCCATTTTCCGAGAGCGTTACGACTCCCAGCGATCGCAGCCGTTACTTCAGTCTGCCCATCGGCCTCGGAAAAAGCGTGTGCCTTCTCCTAAGAGCGTTGTCGTAGCGTTGATGTCGCCATTGAAATGGGCTGTTGATGAGACCTGCCCCGACTGTAGAATATACCAACCTCGGGAAGGTCTTTACCCTCTGACTTTCATCGCATCCTTCCTTTGGATAACCCTGGCCTCGTTCATCCTTGGGACTGTAGTAGATCGCTGGGTAGTCCTACTAGGGCAGCCCTCAAGCATGGGGTATTTTGGTCTCATCTTGGTCGCTGTAGGAGCTGAGATTCCTGATACCGTCAATGCCATTACAGTAGCCAGTCGGGGGTATGGCTCTATGGCAGCTTCAGCGTGTATGGGCTCTCAGATCATTAACATCTGTGTGGGCTTGGGCTTGCCCTGGACGCTAGCATGCCTTGCAGGAGGCTCTATACCCGTGGACAAGCGAAGTTCTTTCCTCTTTGACACGTCCATCGTCATACTAGCCTCTGTCTTCGGGCTACTCCTTTTCACTGTCGGCGTTGCTGTGTTAAAGCGCTACCCAAAGGCCTACATTACTCGTGGTGGCGCTGTGGTGATGTTCTCGTGTTATACAGTATTCATTATAGTGCTTGGTGTGCTCACCTTCACCCATGTGTTTTCGACACAGTCAGACTGACTGCTCTTCGCTGCTGTTGTCGTTTACCCTTCATAATGGCATCACACTGTTGTCATTGTAATATTGCTTTCTATCTGATAACTAACAGCCTTGGGTTGGGGAAACTCCTGTCCAGCTCTACGGCCGCTCACACCCACTCTGTCGTTCTGATGCCACCCAAAGAAGAGAGGAGCGCGTACTGCATCAAAGCGGTTTTGCATCAGGCCACTGGCATCTGAGGTCCAGAGGTAGTAATGCACTGGGATAGGGTGGGAGTCTTAAAGCCGATGGACAATGGTGAACCCGAGTACGTCTATGCAGATCGGGCTAATAAGCCTTATTGGTCTCCCCTTACGAGGCTGTGGTACTCAGGATCAGCATGGACGAGTAGTGTTAAAAATTTATGTTTAGTTCCCTCAGGCTAGCTCAGAAGTTGTCTTGTTATACTATGGAGGTTTTTACACGAGTGAGGGAAAATTTTCCGGAAATTCCCCAGAATTTCTGTATTGTCACCAACAAATGTATTTGACCATGTTTATATTCTCCCATACTGGTGACGAGTCCGGTGGTGTGTCCAACGTTGTGTTGTGTTGATAGTCTAGATAGTAGTAAGGTGTAGTCTAGAGTTCAGTGATGGCCTCTCCTGTCGACCTACCGCCTCCTCGTCCCTGGAAGAGCTATCTTCTCATATGCAATGTAGGGAAGCGACAAAACTGGGGTCAACTGCTTCGCTCCGCTACTGCATTTGGAGTTACCGAAGTGTTCGTGGTTGGCGCTAAGAAGATGAAGGAACTTGCCTTGTTCGGCAACCAAGGTGATGAGAGTTTTTGACTGTACGAATTTACTACAAGTTTAGCGTCAGTGAAGACGGTTCAGATTGATACCATATGAATCCTCTCCAATGGATAACAGAATAACGACGATAACAGTATCTTGTTTTATTTGATGTGCAGAATAATTCCTCGGCATTTGGTTTTATAAGTTCGCTTAGTGGAAGCGATGAAATTTCGATAAGAAATGTTAATAAAGGCGTTATGAATAGTGCAGATCGAGCGGTGAATTGTGAGGCGATAAATTTTCAATTACATCGCAGCGATCATCGCATAGGTACAACACTGCATGCAACGTTCGAGACACAATAGCAGAGGTTAAGGAGGAGCTCAAGAGGCGAGGGATCACCCTATGTGGAGTCGAGATTCATCCGTCCTCCGAGCCCATACAGGACATGCACTGGCGTGGTGACACGTGCTTTATGTTGGGCAATGAAGGCACTGGCATGACCGATAAGCAGGTGGGCATTCGACTCCTCTTGGCATTCACTCAGAGGTTGTGTATGTGATCAGATTGCAGCCTGTGACCAGTTCACGTACATACAGCAGTATACGAAGGCCACTGCTTCCCTCAACGTGGCAATCGCGGGTTCGATCGTATCGCATCATTTCGCCATGGCCTCGGGAATGCCCGTGGCGGAGCGGAAGGGTCAGAAATTTGTCACAGACGAGGGTCGGGGTAAACTCGACAGATATGAGCATCCTACCGATTACGAGCAGCAAGTCATTGAGGAGAAGAGGCGCTTGCGGGCAGCTAAACGGCAGAAGGAAGCCGTAGCAGCAGCTGATGATGATGACAAGACAGCTTAATACGTTGTACAGTGTTCCATAGTGGGGCTTTTGTTGATAAAGGAGTGGTATGATACTGAACGCGATACGGTAACGACCAAAATATCACACATTCATGGTACTGTGAGGAGTCCTCTAGAGGATAGTAGTTGCTGATATGAAAAGGTGCAAGAACGCGGTTTTGGTGATGCTCACATTTGGATTTTCTGAGGTGCCCGCGCGTCCTCTGGCGGTGACTTCTGTGCCGCTTTGAACCGCAGTCGTCGTGGGCATCATCCTGAGGGAAGGTCACGCGCTGGTCAAACTGAGGAAGGGGCCCACATTAGTAGTCAAGACCGGGTAGGGCCGCATCCCGGACGACTTGTACATGCCAAGACAGCAGGTGCTGCCAGAAAAGGGCGTGGCGCTGTCTCGTAGAGTCAACCTTGATCGATCTGGTGGGATCGTATTGGAAGGACGGAAGTTGGACCTGTGATGGTATGGTACGAGTAATGGCGGTGTTTATCACTCAGAAGCATGACTACAACAATGGTTAGTGGCTTACATATATTCACTCTGAATGAGAGCCGGTCGCCCTACATTTTTTCGAAAGTGGGCATCAGCAGCGGCGCGCTCTTTCGCGATCGCCTTAGTATAGTCAGAAAGAATATCTGCTTTGACCCAAGTGAAGGTTTGAGGGTTTGCCTGGAGACCGGGAGACAGGAAAATATTCGCTGGCATGATGATAATGATGACAAGGACAGTACTGCCAACGTGCTATACTTCCGTCCATCTCTCTACGTCCCATTGCACTGTTCCGGTCAGAATAGATAGACGCAACGCAACGATTTTCGCGTATAGATGGGGAAAATTACGGTAATAGATGGGCAATGATATTGCCGGGCTCTACGGCCTAGGAGAGACAGTTGTGTTTACTTCCTTCGGGCACACGTCACAACTCCTGTCCGAGCGCTTTGTGCGAACGACTTAGCGGACGCCCAATTTTACACTGACAAACTTGTCTATTATTGAAATGCTCGCATCACTTCAAAAAGCTGCTGCTGCTAATACCGCTACTGCCGCTCGAGTAGCATCCCCTACTGCCCGTCGGTTTGCGGTGAGTTCGCTTCTTGCTATGGTTGACTCTCAAATGTATTTGTGTTTGTTTCAGGTCACAGTCGCCGGCTCCGAGGCTGCTGCTAAGGAGCAATTGTCTACTGCTTACCCTCCTCTGAAGGTTGCGTGGTTCACCGCTTCTTGGTGCGGTCCTTGCAAACAAGTGACTCCTTACGTAAGTGAGAAGGACATGCACGTCTCCTCAATTCACTCTCTGTGTTACATTAGGGAGAGCTCGATTAGCTTTCGTGGTTGTCGGTGGTCAGCTTTGTCGTTTTCTTAGATCGAGAACCTTGCTAAAAACAACGATAAAGTGTCCTTCATCAAGATCGACATCGATGACTTCGATGATATGGCTCAAGAGAACAAGGTCATGTCTGTCCCTACGTTTGCTTTCTACAAGGATGGCAAGGAGGTAAGAGAGGTTCCTATCTCACTCGGTTCAACGTTTTGATACTAAGTCGCATTGTTACAAGGGCTTGACACTCTTAGGTTCAGCGCGTGACCGGAGCTGATCCCGTGAAGATTGAGGAGATTGTTAAGCAATTATGTCAGTAAATGGCTGACGAGTAAATCCAACGGTTGGTGACAAAAATTCACTCAGTCGCCCAGGATTTCTTCACTCTGGGAAACATCTCGTCAATATTATATCCTCTCGTTTCAAATCCTCCAATATCATTCTTCGTTCAATTCTGATTACGGTTGTTTTGAGTTGTACTAGTATGTTTGGAAGTCGTTGGAAGAGGAAGAGTTTGATAGTGCCTTCTCTCTCCTTTCTCGATGTCTATGCTCGGAAGATCTATATATACGCTGGGCAAATAATGGATATGTTAATTTGAGCGGTGGGACCTCGAAGTTCTGCAGTGAGATGAGTCTTCTCATCTTAGGGGACCGACCCCAGGAGATGATGAGATACGACACAATCCTCCCGCCCTACCCACAGGATGATGGAAGTCATTTAAAAGCCTTGTTGAAGTGCGTGTCTGTGTGAGCTTAAAGTCTAACGCCGACAACACGGCTTGGTTAGACTCGCATCGATGCACATTGGCTCCCGAGTTTTAGCCTTTTCAATTGTCTACTTTCATGCTGCCAATGAGTTTTGCCGAGCTAACCTCTGCCAATGTACTTCCTTCCCTCGATCAAGTGCTGGAATTCGACTCTTTATTAGCGTATGCCGACAGCAGTTAGTCCACATCGTATACAGCGAGATTACGAGCGAAAATGAAAATGTCGACGCAAAAATGATGGATGAAGATAAAGCCACTGAAGAAAACTCAATTCAAGTCGATAAGAAACATCTTTATCATCGCCTGCATCGCTAGGAAACACCTCGTCATTATGGGCACTAGCAGCAGGAGGACCGAGGGAACGAGGAGGTGGTGATAGCTCGTCATCAGCCTCTTCGGTATCCCAGGAAAACCATATCTGTTGCGGCTTTTCCTCCCAAGTGCTCACACCAGGGATCGAACCCAGGGCCTAAGGGATAACAGAATCGACGCGAACGAGTCGCAAAATTACTAGGTACTGCAATAGTATGAGCCCCATGAATCAACCCAGCAAGACAAGGCATTCCCACGACTACGAAACACTTCGCATAAGGAGGTTATGAACCTCTACCATAATGCGATGACTAGGGTGATGAAGAAGCGACCCAAGATGTCGTCATAGAAAAGCACGAGGTTGAAACTGTTGGAGAATCAATCTTGTTAAACCCCATTGGTATCAATGCACGAGGTAAATGACATCTTCTTACGCTTACTATAGTCGAACACGGAATACACCGAAACATTCAAATGTAATTCTACATAATCAACGACGATTTCAACTGCTATGAAGTGACAGGTCGCGTTTGTGAGAAACACTACTATGCAACGCTTCTCCTTACTACCGTCACGAAGTTCTTGAATCCATATTCCTGCACTGGTGCTCGCTTGCCAAAAGTCCGACGGTAAGAATCAGCGAGCCTGCCCGCTGGAGAGTCCGACAGACCATGCTCCCGAACCAGTTCCTTGAGCTCCCCTATCAGCTCCGGGGGGAGACGGAATTGGCTCGCTGTTGACTTGGAGGCGTGATCTAAAGATACCCCATGCACGCACGCACATAAGATACCCCATCTCTAGTGTTGGACCATATTTTCGCTTTCCTCAGCTGAGCTCAGGCGTTTCCTCACTAGTCATAGAAGTTCACATATGAGAAAAAAGAACAAAATTTCCACAGAATTTTTATGTTGTCACCGACATATGCGTGCATGTTTCCAACCCTGCCTACCTCCCTTTGCATCCAGACGTGCCAGCCCTGATGTTGCATAGAGGCACCTTCTAGTCACCCTCACCCCTTTAGGACCATGGCCACCACTCCCTAGGCACAGGTTCGATCCCCGGCAACGACACAATATTACGTTTATTCACGGAACCTCCTTCCTTGCCCACCGTAGCTGCCATATTTTGTTCCTTGTCCTCGGCCTCCTTCAGCAGAGCCTCACAGTCAAGCATGGTGTAGTCCAACTTCTCTATAGCATCCTTCGCCACGCCCTCCGAAGTGAACGTCACATTCGCCCAACCAGCACATCTCGTCGGATCTAATCACAATACAACGATCCCTCATAAAAGGCAAATTTACTACTAGTGTGCTATTGTCTGCAACTCGCAGAATTCAACAAATTTCCCAATGAGAAATAGCTTATTAAGAATTCAGCCATACCATCGAAAAGCGTTCGCCAAGATTCATCTCTCACTGCAAAATTCATCGAATTCTGCGAGCTACCAACAATAGCACACTTTATTTCGGGCGCTCTGTACTACTCTGCACATGTAGAATGAACAACAGTCGAACCTGAGGACCTACATTTCCTATCCCTTCCTATATATACCCTCTCAATAACAGCAGGATCATTGTTCCCCTCAGGCAACACACCCAACACTGTCGTCTTGATCCACTCCGACGAAGCCTCCACAGGAAGGTTGTTGAGGAAAACACTGCGAGCTCTAAGGCCAGCACACTCCCCACAACGACGCGCCCCCAAACGCCTTACGCCTTATCCTTATCGATTTTCTTGGGTGCTCGCTGTACAGGCTCTCCTTCAGCACCTTTGCTCCGCTTCGCTGCACCTAACATTAGCGATAACACATCCCCGAAGAATTTTTCCGCGACTTCAATGAACAACAACTCGTACTAGAAACTACGCTCCTCGCTCGAATTAACTCCTGGTGATGAACGCAGCATCCTCCAAAGGGAATGACTAGTAGTAATTACCCTTGGTACGAGGATAATTACCCCTATTACACATTCCACCAATACTAACCTTCCTTCTGCCGCCTTTCCCTATTCCGCTTCCTCTTCTTCGTCTCCCCGACGTTCTCTGAAGTCTGAGTGGCATCGGCGGGGGTTATCGCCTTGGTCGCTGCCTCAACCGGAATTCCCTCTTCCTTCTCCCCCAGAAGCTCCAAGACGTCCATCAATCAACACAGGGCTAAAAATATGCATTCTTGCAACGCTTCGCTCCGCCCTCCCCGAACCAAAATCCCACCACTGTGAACACAACAGACGACTGAATGTACCAGGACACCGTTATGAACAGACATGGGACACCAACTGGAAAACCTCCGACGCTACCGCTTCGTAACGTGGCCTTCCATCTCCTCGTTCGCATGCTGAAGTCTATCAGCAACCTTCGAGCTCAGCGCTATGCGAACTCTCACTCGCATTGACCGCTGGGCAACCTGATCCCACCAGAAGATATCTCTCAATCTCTGCAGGCCTATTTCAAGTCGTAGAGAAAACTGCCACCCCACACGTATTCACTAGATGTCTACATAGGAACGACTATCTGATTACAAAACTCATACCGACAGGATCCGACAGATTCCGAATGCTGGACCGCCTCCTATCAAAATTTCAAGAGGGAACACACAGAAAAGTAATCACATAACAATCCTAGGAACCTCGAAAGATACGCCTTATAGTCTTGCCTCTGCTAGTTCCGGTATCGACGCCCACAGTTCCGCAGTGTGCTGGGATATGCTGATGATCTTCTGTAAATAGTGCGAAGACTTCCTCTCAAAATCAACCTAATGAACACTTCACAAATCTCGCATCATAAACACGGGGAATCACTTTTCCCAGCAGAGCGACTATCTGTACTAGTTGCTCTCTCTCCAGGACCTCCAACGACTGTGTTATTTTCCTCATAACCTTCCTAAGAACATGATTTATATCCTAGATGCTCCTGCTCGTCTGCTCGTTTACGCGAACTCCACCTCTACTCGACACAGCTCGCCGAAATCTGCGGCACCCATCGCTAACGTCTGGCCCTCCTCCAGCGACTCCACCAACAGGTTGGAGAGCGACACGTTGGGGAAGACCTGAGCATTTTCACACAGTCAGCGGCCTCAGGAGGAGCTCATTAGCCATGAATATTTCCCCCTCCCCAGCCGACCTACTACCTGCCTCACCCTAGGCCCCAAGAGATATTCCCCTTGGCCGTAGAACAGACCCTGCGTGAGCTCAAATAGCGGTATGTTCTCGAATACTCGCACCTGGTAGAAAGACGTATCGGCGACTGGAATCAATAGCCCTTCCACACATATGAGAATCCCCAAAGTTGCAGCGTTATTCATAGGCGCTGATACTCCCCTTTCTGAACCTCGCAAGAGTCGCATGCATGCCAATACGATGAGGTTTATATCATCAATATAGACCAACAGCTGCCCTCCAAAAAGCCCAGCCGCGCAATCTTGTGAACGGTGAAGCGAGCATTTATCCCAGCCGATCGCGCTCAGTTGCTCAACAGAAGAGCATGGCCTTCGGCAACTTACCGCATCGGGGTCAACAACATCGTCATCATCCTCTCCTCTTCCTCCTGTCCTCCATGTCGTTACCAACTTGCCGCGGATCGCGATAGTGCCCAACACTCTTACCTACGATGCGCTACGACATCTACTCTGCAAAGACGACCGACTCACCTTCCCTCGCATGACCACGAAGAAAGGCAAGGACGTGGCTTCTGGTTCGGTCACTCGGATGATAGGCACTCTAACTTCATCCGGCGCCCCTACAAGAACCCCGGTTCGATTCCCAGACATCACTATTCTCCCTTCATATATCACCATGCTCAAGAGCCTGCTTCGACGCCACATTGACCTGAAGAGCTCTATGCACGCATACACATTCCCAATATTGTTATCACATCTCCATCCGACCGTTGGTTTCCTATGGAGACCCATGAGCTTTCCGATCTATATATGCACCTTCCCGGGCGGTATCTCCTCTGATCCCAAGCACCTGGCGAATTCACAAAATTATGGTATAAAAAATCCTGCTACCCACCTATAGTGCTCCACAGTGTTCGAGTAGACAGAGAACAGAATGGACTACACGACGATAAGAAGTCTACTATTCGGTTTTCCTCCAAAATCCTGCAACAACAGATAGGTTCCGAATCATTTCACAACTAACACCTCTCACTTCAGCGGAGCCGTTGCTCGTGTAAATGGCTCTCGCTGTGAAATCCCAAAAATGCAATCGTTCTTGCATACCACAGTCGCCGCCCGCGGGGCATCATGCAGTAAGGCGAGCTCCCCGAACGTCTCCCCGGCAACATACGTTGCTACTGGTTTTTCTCCCGGTACGGGGAATATATTGACCTCCATACAGAGAGTTCGATAAAAGATTTTTATGGAATTTCTCACCGCGCCATGAAATATGAGGAAAAACTCATTCCCCTCCTCTCCCTTGTGGCACACAACTTCTCCCTCCCGCATGCGGCGAATCTGACCATGGTGACACCAGCATCAAATAAAATATGCACATGGTCAACTGCATAAGTTCGGGGAACTCGTATTGGTTTTTATACACCGTCACTCCAAGTCGAAGCTTCTGAGCTCAGCTGAGGAAAGTGAACTTATATTCCATCACTAGGTGACATGCTGCGAATTTTACTGCGAACATCCACGATGCACTACCTGCAGCACTTTGATCATTTCCTTCACTTGTTTCTCGGAAAAGCGCTCGAAAAAACTAAATTCCATAGATATTGCTACTTCATACCTACTAAAAATTCCAATACCAAACCACTCTGAATTCCTGCTGGCCGTACATGGCATTGTAGGTCGCCTCTACCTCCCTACGCATCCGCCTGCTCACCCTTCCGCCTCTCCTCTCGATCAAGGCCAGCATGTAACGCATCGTCTAAGACGCCCTATGCTACGTAGGAAGCAAAAGCGCCCCCACCGCGAACTGCCGCGTGATGAGATCCGTCCCTCTCTTCGGGCTGCTCTCGAGCTCAGCTTCCGACCATACACCTGCCATATGATACCTCCTACACCAGTCATGACGATATACATACGAAGGCCCACGAGAGGTGCAATAGAATGCTTGGTTCTATGTATAGAGCCTCGACCGGGACACTAATTGACTCAATAGCCAGAAGGTAAATGAGCTGAAAACTACAACGATAATAAATGAGTCTTTCACGCCGAATATCTTTGGGGAAAATTCGAGTGTCTTAGTGCAACCGCATAAAAGTCACTGACTCAAGCCGATATCATTCTACGAGGTCAGATCCAGCGGGATCACGAAGAGCCGTTTGTCGCATTACCTGTAGCACTAGAGTTCGATGTGCACTGGGCCGGGCGGAAAAATTTAATAAGGACACCCGAATGCCCACCTGCAGTAAAATCAAGCACGTGAAGGGCCGACCTCTCACCTTGATCATTCTGTGTACGGTTACCTCCTACATCCTCCGTTTGCATAAGGCCTGATAAATCTGTCAAGGTCATCACCGCCGCCAAAACTCAACCTCAACCAGAGTCTCCAGAAAATATAAAGAATATTTCTATACTAGCTGCCCTCTCACTCTTCCAATAGCATGCGAATACCTCCCGCGACTGTCGCTATATCTGACTCGTCCTCGAGCTCCATAAAGCGCAACTTTTCCTCCGTAGAGAACTGCGGATCATCCGCCAGGTCGACGAGTCCCTGGCCGTCCAGAGCCGTATAGAACTTCTCAGGGAGCACAATGTTCGGGAAATGAATCTTGACCCAAGTGGAAACCTCTTCCTTGGGCCAAGTCTTGACCGCTACCGCCGGGGAGGGCATCAACGCTCGTACCATCGAGTAGTAGCAATACTTCATATCGAAATCCATATCGTACCAATAGTTCACGCCGACCGTCAGGCAATTTTGAGTCGCCGAGTGAAGCCACAAACTAGGTAGATAGATGGCGTCACCAGCATCTAGCACGATCGTTAGACACTCCGGGAGTTCCTCCACCTCCTTCAACACCCATACCACATCTTCAGCCTCATGTTGAAGCTCCAGCGTACCGTCATCTTGACGATGATACGTTGCAGCCGGGAATCTACCCTCGCCTATGTGCGGTAGGAAACAAGGTGGCAGCAAGTTGAACACCTTTCGGCCCTTCAAACACGTGAAAATATTCTCATAGAAGTCCGAGTGAGTCGAAGAATGAGAGCGCTCGTCTCCAATCCAGAAGTTAACAGCATCCACCTTCGTCTCGAGCGTCTCGTCCAACCACTGGATCCTCTCCGGAATATACTTCCCCAACAACTCCGGTATTTCTTGTCTCAGTGAGTCGTTCTGATGGCTCAAATAGGGGATGCCTCGGTCTTCTCGACGAGACGTGATGTACTCCCAAAACTCACCATACGGTATCTTTTCCTCACAAGGCTTGGCAAAAACCTTGTTTTCCAAGACTGCATCAGCCCTGCCATTGGGCGTGAAATTGATACTCACTTCTCTATCAGCATCAACTGCCGTGCTCCAATCAACTTTGTCGATACCCAACGCCTTCGTCACCCCAGTGATAATAGCACGTCGATTCTGCGATATGAAGTCCCTATAGAAGCGAAATGGATGCTCCTTTACATCCTCATACTCTAGCCGCTGATCGTATCTTTGTCAGAAGCCATCCAAGATCGATGGCGGACTCACAAACAGTGCTAACGGCTGT